GTGACTTGTGATGATGTCCCTAACATTTCCTCAGTGTACAGTGACTTGTGATGATGTCCCTAACATTTCCCCAGTGTACAGTGACTTGTGATGATGTCTCTAACATTTCCTCAGCGTACAGTGACTTGTGATGAGGTCCCTAACATTTCCCCAATGTACAGTGATTTGTGATGATGTCCCTAACATTTCCCCAATGCACAGTGACTTGTGATGATGTCCCTAACATTTCCCCAATGTGCAGTGACTTGTGATGATGTCCCTAACATTTACCTAGTACAGTGACTTGTGATGATATCCCTAACATTTCTCCAGTGTACAGTGACTTGTGATGATGTCCCTAACATTTCCTCAGTACAGTGACTTGTGATGATGTCCCTAACATTTCCTCAGTGTACAGTGACTTGTGATGATGTCCCTAACATTTCCCCAGTGTACAGTGACTTGTGATGATGTCTCTAACATTTCCTCAGCGTACAGTGACTTGTGATGAGGTCCCTAACATTTCCCCAATGTACAGTGATTTGTGATGATGTCCCTAACATTTCCCCAATGTACAGTGACTTGTGATGATGTCCCTAACATTTCCCCAATGTGCAGTGACTTGTGATGATGTCCCTAACATTTCCCCAGTGTACAGTGACTTGTGATGATGTCCCTAACATTTCCCCAATGTACAGTGACTTGTGATGAGGTCCCTAACATTTCCCCATTACAGAGACTTGTGATGATGTCCCTAACATTTCCCCAGTGTACAGTGACTTGTGATGAGGTCCCTAACATTTCCCCAATGTACAGTGACTTGTGATGATGTCCCTAACATTTCCCCAATGTACAGTGACTTGTGATGATGTCCCTAACATTTCCCCAGTGTACAGTGACTTGTGATGATGTCCCTAACATTTCCCCAATGTACAGTGACTTGTGATGAGGTCCCTAACATTTCCCCAATGTACAGTGACTTGTGATGATGTTCCTAACATTTCCCCAATGTACAGTGACTTGTGATGATGTCCCTAACATTTCCCCAGTGTACAGTGACTTGTGATGATGTCCCTAACATTTCCCCAGCGTACAGTGACTTGTGATGAGGTCCCTAACATTTCCTTAGTGTACAGTGACTTGTGATGATGTCCCTAACATTTCCCCAGTGTACAGTGACTTGTGATGATGTCCCTAACATTTCCCCAGTGTACAGTGACTTGTGATGATGTTCCTAACATTTCCCCAGCGTACAGAGACTTGTGATGAGGTCCCTAACATTTCCTTAGTGTACAGTGACTTGTGATGATGTCCCTTACATTTCCTCAGGCTACAGTGACTTGTGATGATGTCCCTAACATTTCCCCAGTGTACAGTGGCTTGTGATGATGTCCCTAATATTTCCTCAGTGTACAGTGACTTGTGATGATGTCCCTAACATTTCCTCAGTGTACAGTGACTTGTGATGATGTCCCTAACATTTCCTCAGTACAGTAACTTGTGATGATGTCCCTAACATTTCCTCAGTGTACAGTGACTTGTGATGATGTCCCTAACATTTCCTCAGTGTACAGTGACTTGTGATGATGTCCCTAACATTTCCTTAGTGTACAGTGACTTGTGATGAGGTCCCTAACATTTCCCCAATGTACAGTGACTTGTGATGAGGTCCCTAACATTTCCCTAATGTACAGTGACTTGTGATGATGTCCCTAACATTTCCCCAGTGTACAGTGATTTGTGATGATGTCCCTAACATTTCCCCAGTGTACAGTGACTTGTGATGATGTCCCTAACATTTCCCCAGCGTACAGTGACTTGTGATGAGGTCCCTAACATTTCCTTAGTGTACAGTGACTTGTGATGATGTCCCTTACATTTCCTCAGGCTACAGTGACTTGTGATGATGTCCCTAACATTTCCCCAGTGTACAGTGGCTTGTGATGATGTCCCTAACATTTCCCCAATGTACAGTGACTTGTGATGAGGTCCCTAACATTTCCCCATTACAGAGACTTGTGATGATGTCCCTAACATTTCCCCAGTGTACAGTGACTTGTGATGATGTCCCTAACATTTCCCCAATGTACAGTGACTTGTGATGATGTCCCTAACATTTCCCCAATGTACAGTGACTTGTGATGATGTCCCTAACATTTCCCCAGTTTACAGTGACTTGTGATGATGTCCCTAACATTTCCCCAGTGTACAGTGACTTGTGATGAGGTCCCTAACATTTCCCCAATGTACAGTGACTTGTGATGATGTCCCTAACATTTCCCCAATGTACAGTGACTTGTGATGAGGTCCCTAACATTTCCCCAATGTACAGTGACTTGTGATGATGTTCCTAACATTTCCCCAATGTACAGTGACTTGTGATGATGTCCCTAACATTTCCCCAATGTACAGTGACTTGTGATGATGTCCCTAACATTTCCCCAGCGTACAGTGACTTGTGATGAGGTCCCTAACATTTCCTTAGTGTACAGTGACTTGTGATGATGTCCCTAACATTTCCCCAATGTACAGTGACTTGTGATGAGGTCCCTAACATTTCCCCAGTGTACAGTGGCTTGTGATGATGTCCCTAACATTTCCTCAGTACAGTGACTTGTGATGATGTCCCTAACATTTCCTTAGTGTACAGTGACTTGTGATGATGTCTCTTACGTTTCCTCAGGCTACAGTGACTTGTGATGATGTCCTTGACATTTCCCCAGTGTACAGTGGCTTGTGATGATGTCCCTAACATTTCCTCGGTGTACAGTGACTTGTGATGATGTCCCTAACATTTCCTCGGTGTACAGTGACTTGTGATGATGTCCCTAACATTTCCTCAGTACAGTGACTTGTGATGAGGTCCCTAACATTTCCCTAATGTACAGTGACTTGTGATGATGTCCCTAACATTTCCCCAGTGTACAGTGATTTGTGATGATGTCCCTAACATTTCCCCAGTGTACAGTGACTTGTGATGATGTCCCTAACATTTCCCCAGCGTACAGTGACTTGTGATGAGGTCCCTAACATTTCCTTAGTGTACAGTGACTTGTGATGATGTCCCTTACATTTCCTCAGGCTACAGTGACTTGTGATGAGGTCCCTAACATTTCCCCAATGTACAGTGACTTGTGATGAGGTCCCTAACATTTCCCCATTACAGAGACTTGTGATGATGTCCCTAACATTTCCCCAGTGTACAGTGACTTGTGATGAGGTCCCTAACATTTCCCCAATGTACAGTGACTTGTGATGATGTCCCTAACATTTCCCCAATGTACAGTGACTTGTGATGATGTCCCTAACATTTCCCCAGTGTACAGTGACTTGTGATGATGTCCCTAACATTTCCCCAGTGTACAGTGACTTGTGATGAGGTCCCTAACATTTCCCCAATGTACAGTGACTTGTGATGATGTCCCTAACATTTCCCCAATGTACAGTGACTTGTGATGATGTTCCTAACATTTCCCCAATGTACAGTGACTTGTGATGATGTCCCTAACATTTCCCCAATGTACAGTGACTTGTGATGATGTCCCTAACATTTCCCCAGCGTACAGTGACTTGTGATGAGGTCCCTAACATTTCCTTAGTGTACAGTGACTTGTGATGATGTCCCTAACATTTCCCCAATGTACAGTGACTTGTGATGAGGTCCCTAACATTTCCCCAGTGTACAGTGGCTTGTGATGATGTCCCTAACATTTCCCCAGTGTACAGTGACTTGTGATGATGTTCCTAACATTTCCCCAGCGTACAGTGACTTGTGATGAGGTCCCTAACATTTCCTTAGTGTACAGTGACTTGTGATGATGTCCCTTACATTTCCTCAGGCTACAGTGACTTGTGATGATGTCCCTAACATTTCCCCAGTGTACAGTGGCTTGTGATGATGTCCCTAATATTTCCTCAGTGTACAGTGACTTGTGATGATGTCCCTAACATTTCCTCAGTACAGTGACTTGTGATGATGTCCCTAACATTTCCTTAGTGTACAGTGACTTGTGATGATGTCTCTTACGTTTCCTCAGGCTACAGTGACTTGTGATGATGTCCTTGACATTTCCCCAGTGTACAGTGGCTTGTGATGATGTCCCTAACATTTCCTCGGTGTACAGTGACGTGTGATAATGTCCCTAACATTTCTCCAGTGTACAGTGAGTTGTGATGATGTCCCTAACATTTCCCCAGTGTACAGTGACTTGTGATGATGTCCCTAACATTTCCTCGGTGTACAGTGACTTGTGATGATGTCCCTAACATTTCCTCAGTACAGTGACTTGTGATGATGTCCCTAACATTTCCTTAGTGTACAGTGACTTGTGATGATGTCCCTTACATTTCCTCAGGCTACAGTGACTTGTGATGATGTCCCTAACATTTCCCCAGTGTACAGTGGCTTGTGATGATGTCCCTAACATTTCCTCAGTGTACAGTGACGTGTGACAATGTCCCTAACATTTCCTCAGTGTACAGTGACTTGTGATGATGTCCCTGACATTTCCTCAGTGCACAGTGACTTGTGATGATGTCCCTAACATTTCCCCAGTACAGTGACTTGTGATGATGTCCCTGACATTTCCTCAGTGTACAGTGACGTGTGACAATGTCCCTAACATTTCTTCAGTGTATAGTGGTTTGTCATGACGTATACCCAGTGTTTTATTTCAAAACTGATGCTTTATTTTTCATTGCAGTATTTCTTTTACGTGTACATTTTTTGCCATTTTTCAAAAACGTTCACATAAATTATTAGCATTGTAGAGCATACACTGTACGGTTTATAATTTCAATAAGAGTAACACGATTAAATTATTTCCTAATTCCAATCCATTCCAAAAGTATTTAACTGAATATCTATCTATTTATCTACAATATTATGTTCAATATATGATGGTTTATTTACTTGGTTATATTTGTCAGATTTAACACATTCTGTGGTTTCTCACTTTCTGTAACATTCACGCTAGTGGTCTAGGGGGAATAACTCGTCCTTTTTCAAAATGGCGGCCTCCATGAGAACATGTGTGTTCAACGACTTGCGTCTTTTACGCAAAACAATACTGCGTAACCCTGTGCAGTCGTATTCTCCGTCACGGTTCATCCATTTGTCACAGAAAGGAAGTAAGTTTTATAATTGAACGGAAAGAGATTGATTTATTCCGTCATTCTGTATTTGATCAGCTTGCGTCAGATGACATTGACCTGGGCATCAAATGACCTACTGCTCACTACACTTTTCAATAAGTAATTGTTTACCAAATGTAGGAGATATATATTTTATAGCAATGTGGTCTATTGTGTGACTGATATTATCGCTTTTTTGCATACATGGAACTGGTTTCTAAGGAATTTTCTGAAGCTAAGAGTCCAGAGTCCCGAACATTTATGTAACGACGTAGCAAATATTATAGCAGTACCTAACATTAGCACTGTGTTAACGAGTACAGTATAAATAAAATAAACAAGGTAAAGTCTAAAAAGAGCTTAGTTTTATAGTTACCTGAAAAGAAGATTGAAACAAGTCACAGACAGATAGACACAGTATACTGTGCGTATATCAAATATATATAGCACAGCATTCTGTTTTTATTATCATTTCATTTGTGATTTTTTTTGTAAATAAAGCAAAAAGTTCATGTCGCGTTGATAAAAATCAAAAGTTGATTTCATTTATTAATTTGGTTATTTCTCAAAATTTCCTTCTTTGTATTACTGTGATGACACCTCTAATTATATATACAAAATTGCTCTATTGGTAGTAAATATTTGCATTACAAAACCACTGACTGAGATCATTTAGTACTAATTAACATCCATTTGCAAGGTATACTTTGTTTGAATGTGAAACAGTCTTTGAATAAATAAAATCTGGTGGCTTAATCTCTTTGTAAAATATTCAAGAGCTGGTTAAGGGAGACTTTTTCTCCACTAACTGCTGTTTCCAGTGTTGTAAAGGTAAAAGGCAACATATAGAAAGGGAGGTAACACATTTCAGTTTCAACTGCCTGTTGCAGTGAATCACGGTTCCACTCAAGTTGTTTGTACATCTTTTCAAGAGAAATTTCTTAATTATTTTAAACATGATTAAATTCAAATTAATTTAACAAATACAACCAAATGGTGCAGTTGCAAATGTAATTCAGTAGTTAATGAAATGAGATATTTTGTGACCCTTCTGCACTTTCGTTGTGAGAGAGAATTCATTTCCAATTTTACAGAAAGTCTCAAAGGCTCCCAAGCATTAAGCCAAAATTCAGATCAGGTGAACAGGAAATCAGATGTGTTCTTATCTTGATTGGTTGATATTGGTTTTTTATCAGTGTGTTTCAACCCATCAATGTACTGTATGTTTCTTAAATTTGTTTGAACTATGTAAGAATTCTAGTTCAAAAATCATTTTATTTCCACATGAAAGCCTTAAAAGATATTTTTTCAGTGGATATATTCTTTTAATCCAATCAAGAAGTCAGTTGTTCACATTCTGTGCTGCAGTTTAAGTCCCAGGATCCAGTTTGTTGGGTTAGTTGGGTGTTTAACCACTTTGAATTTCTCACACTCAATACCATAATAAGAATACATGTACATATGATATTAAGATCTTAAACAACAAGTGATATCAGAATATCACAGATAAATGTACTCTGTTCATGTCTATCCTTGTAGCTTCATAGCTTCCTGATCTTAATGAGAATTTGTAAGAGGCAGACTTGTTTATTGCAAGGGGGGGACAACTCAGAATGTTTCATGATGTGTGCAGAAAGCACATGAGCAGACCTTTGACACAGGTGTGGGTCTTTGTACAGAGTAGCCTTCAAATTTAAAGAATACATTGAACTGAACAGTTCTTATTATTCAAATGGTTAACAATATAAACATACTTAGGAATGCATCTTTTCTTATGTCTATCAATGTTGAAGGAAGATACTGGTGTTGTAACCATGTACTGAGATATATTATGTAGATACTTATGGGATATTTGATCCAAAGCTGGTGGAGGGAATGTTCGACCCTGCAGCGCAAGGAAAAACTTGTGAACATAGTAAAAAATTATTTAAAAAACATTGTCATTTGAATGTCGGAAAACATTATTTTACTCAAAGAATAATTGATACTTGGAAAAGTCTCCCTCAATGGGTAATTTCATCACTTAACGTTCATGATTTTGAAAAACACCTAGACGATTTCTGGAAAGATCTTGAACTGAAGTACGATCATACAGCATCTTATATCTCGTCTAATATTATGTTTATATTAATAATACATTGTATTGATGTGAATACAGAGGCAGAAATGCCTGCGTTCACTATTATCCTATTAAATCCTATTAAAACTGTAATTTGTATTGCTTCCCTACATTACCCCTTGGGTAGTTTCAATATAATTAGACAAGATAAACAGAGCAATTAACTCATATATACAATGTACAACTTTAGATATCCCGGACTGTTTAGTACCATATTTGAAAACAAGTTATAATTATGTTGAGACATAAATAGTGGTAAGTAAGCCTGTTGTGACCTTTACTATTTAGGGAGGCCATGTCTGGTACCTATCTACCAGGTGTCACGCCCAAGGATATGGACCGAAGGATATCGGAGCTTTGTCACCAGCGCATCACGACTCAGCTCAGAACCAGAGACCATTGAAGGGCAGATAATCGAGGAAGAAAATAAGGAGGAAGAAGTATACCACTCAATTATCAAAGACACAGAAAGGTCAACTGGTGAGTAGATCATAGTCTGCCATTATGGCAACACAACAATTGCAGGTAATAATTATATAGAGGGTAGATGTATCCCAGCAACATTTGTTGGTAATGGGTAGAGGTATCCCAGCAACATTTGTTGGTAATGGGTAGAGGTATCCCAGCAACATTTGTTGGCAAAGAGTAGAGGTATCCCAGCAACATTTGTTGGTAAAGAGTTGAGATATCACAGCAACATTTGTTGGTAAAGGGTAGAGGTATCCCAGCAACATTTGTTGGTAAAGGGTAGAGGTATCCCAGCAACATTTGTTGGTAAATGGTAGAGGTATCCCAGCAACATTTGTTGGTAAAGGGTAGAGGTATCCCAGCAACATTTGTTGGTAAAGGGTAGAGGTATCCCAGCAACATTTGTTGGTAAAGGGTAGAGGTATCCCAGCAACATTTGTTGGTAAATGGTAGAGGTATCCCAGCAACATTTGTTGGTAAAGAGTAGAGGTATCCCAGCAACATTTGTTGGTAAAGGGTAGAGGTATCCCAGCAACATTTGTTGGTAAAGGGTAGAGGTATCCCAGCAACATTTATTGGTAAAGGGTAGAGGTATCCAAGCAACATTTGTTGGTAAAGAGTAGAGGTATCCCAGCAACATTTGTTGGAAAAGGGTAGAGGTATCCCAGCAACATTTGTTGGTAAAGAGTAGAGGTATCCCAGCAACATGTGTTGGTAAAGAGTAGAGGTATCCCAGCAACATTTGTTGGTAAAGGGTAGAGGTATCCCAGCAACATTTGTTGTAAAGGGTAGAGGTATCCCAGCAACATTTGTTGGTAAAGAGTAGAGGTATCCCAGCAACATTTGTTGGTAAAGAGTAGAGGTATCCCAGCAACATTTGTTGGTAAAGGGTAGAGGTATCCCAGCAACATTTGTTGGTAAAGGGTAGAGGTATCCCAGCAACATTTGTTGTAAAGGGTAGAGGTATCCCAGCAACATTTGTTGGTAAAGAGTAGAGGTATCCCAGCAACATTTGTTGGTAAAGAGTAGAGGTATCCCAGCAACATTTGTTGGTAAAGGGTAGAGGTATCCCAGCAACATTTGTTGGTAAAAAGTAGAGGTATCCCAGCAACATTTGTTGGTAAAGGGTAGAGGTATCCCAGCAACATTTGTTGGTAAAGAGTAGAGGTATCCCAGCAACATTTGTTGGTAAAGGGTAGAAGTATCCCAGCAACACTTTAGGTGCAATTGGTTTCATGCTGCCATCAGTGACCATACTCACACAAGTATATTTACCTTCATAATACATGTATGTCAAAGCATTCTGCAAAGATTGGCTGTACAAAGCAGAGTTTTGCTTGACTCTAAATAACCTGTATTTTAACCCCTTAATTAGGAAAGGGACTTCCGAAAATGATAAAAAAATGCACTTCATTATTTATAACTGGAGTCCATGGACCCCTAAAGTACGTAAATTTGGGGGTTGTGGGGAAAACCCTGACAAAGTTGTATGTGGATGAAAAGGAAATTCTTCATTTTTGTTCCAAAGTTCAGGATATTTTTACAAGTCCATAGTCCAACATGTAACATATAAATATATTGGGAGGTTAATCGTAGTTTAAAACACAACTCAAGACGTGTCATATATTTATAAAAACAAGTTGATGTCGGTTACAAAGTATTAACATGGTTGATTTTTATTAGTGACAAAGTATGAACATGTTAAATTTCCATTTATAGGTCCAGGAGACAAGCGAGAGTTTCAGGCAGAGACAAGGAAACTTCTGGACATTGTGGCACGATCTTTGTACTCAGAAAGAGAGGTATGCATGTCAGATCTTTCATCTTATCTATGGTTTTGATAACATGAAAATTAATACTATTAATACTCTGATCAAACATTTTCTCTGTGGAAAATGGCCTCATCATTTCGGTATCATTGCAGGTATTTTTGATATGTGTTAATAGATGGTTTATGTCATTACAGAGGCTAAGTAAGCTTATATGGAGATTTCATTGTAATGATGAAATAAGCAGGTTTTTGTCCAGTTTGGCCAGTGCTAAATTCATCTTAATTCTACAGCAATATCTGTCTGTGTTAGTTGATAATATAATGTTTCCTAAAAATGTACAAGGTATTTATGGTTTTTAGTTGTTTAAGAGGGAAAAAATGCTCTTTTGTAATGAAGAGAAAGAGCGTGCTTTTTCATAAAACAGGACACAACTTATTGCTATAGGCATTAGAATCATGTTCTTGTAACAGAGGTAATTGTCTATTTTAATGTCTACACAAGGATTTGAACCCGAGGCCTCTTGTTTACCAGCCTTACACACAACAGATAAATCTAAAAGATCTCTTTTGTTCAAGAAATGTGTCTTTCTCTTCTGTGTAAAAATCAAATGTTTACCATGTGACAAATTTATTTCCTTTTGTTTACAGAAGGAAAATTCATTCATAAAGCCTGATTTAAGGTCTGATGATGATTGACATCAAGTCAGGAGTAAGGAGTGGATTTGTTGGATAGGATTTAGTCTTGTTGAACTTGATTTTCCGTCTTTATTGCACTATAATTAAATTTGAGGTAATTACTTGTGTATTTGAATGATTTATTATAATTTCTTTCTTTCCCTTTAGGTGTTTATCAGAGAGCTGATTTCCAACTCAAGTGATGCCTTGGAGAAGATGCGGTACATGGAGATGAGTGGAACTGCTGAGGGTGACTCAACTGTGCCCCTGGAGATACACATCGCTGCTGATGATGCAAAGAAGACCTTCACTATACAGGTTAAATATGGCTTCTGTTTCCTTTCTAAATTTAGAAATATTAATGACATTTTCATTTTACACACTTTGTAATTACCAAATAGTAAAACTGACTTTTAAAATTTCTCCTGTGTTTGATCTATTGGTAAATCTTAATGGACTCTGATCTTGAGGTTTGACTTTGACTTGGAGGTTAGATGTTGACCTTGACTTCAGAAATTTATGTTGATTTTTAGAGTTAAGTCACAGTTGTCATTTGTCAGGTGTTTGATATAAATATGTTATAGAACTTTTTTGATGTTGGAACACCAAACTGATTTATCTGCATCTAAGAGTTAAATAAATGACATTTCTGAAGAAAACGATAAAATATGTTGATTTATATTGTAGCTTAAACTCAAACAAGAAAATAGGATGATGAGTCATCATCATCTTGTCAGAATATTTCTACAATATAAGGTTATAATGTCATAACTGCTTTTGTAATTCAGGACACAGGAGTAGGAATGACTAAGGAAGAGATGATAGAGAACCTCGGCACAATAGCAAGGTCCGGCTCAAAGGTAGGTGAATACCTCAGCACAATAGCAAGGTCTGGCTCAAAGGTAGGTGGATACCTCAGCACAATAGCAAGGTCTGGCTCAAAGGTAGGTGGATACCTCAGCACAATAGCAAGGTCTGGCTCAAAGGTAGGTGGATACCTCAGCACAATAGCAAGGTCTGGCTCAAAGGTAGGTGGATACCACAGCACAATAGCAAGGTCTGGCTCAAAGGTAGGTGGATACCTCAGCACAATAGCAAGGTCTGGCTCAAAGGTAAGTTGATACCACAGCACAATAGCAAGGTCTGGCTCAAAGGTAGGTGGATACCACAGCACAATAGCAAGGTCTGGCTCAATGGTAGGTGGATACCTCAGCACAATAGCAAGGTCTGGCTCAAAGGTAGGTGGATACCTCAGCACAATAGCAAGGTCTGGCTCAAAGGTAGGTGGATACCTCAGCACAATAGCAAGGTCTGGCTCAAAGGTAGGTGGATACCTCAGCACAATAGCAAGGTCTGGCTCAAAGGTAGGTGGATACCACAGCACAATAGCAAGGTCTGGCTCAAAGGTAGGTGGATACCTCAGCACAATAGCAAGGTCTGGCTCAAAGGTAGGTTGATACCACAGCACAATAGCAAGGTCTGGCTCAAAGGTAGGTGGATACCTCAGCACAATAGCAAGGTCTGGCTCAAAGGTAAGTTGATACCACAGCACAATAGCAAGGTCTGGCTCAAAGGTAGGTGGATACCACAGCACAATAGCAAGGTCTGGCTCAAAGGTAGGTGGATACCTCAGCACAATAGCAAGGTCTGGCTCAAAGGTAGGTTGATACCTCAGCACAATAGCAAGGTCTGGCTCAAAGGTAGGTGGATACCTCAGCACAATAGCAAGGTCTGGCTCAAAGGTAGGTGGATACCTCAGCACAATAGCAAGGTCTGGCTCAAAGGTAGGTTGATACCACAGCACAATAGCAAGGTCTGGCTCAAAGGTAGGTGGATACCTCAGCACAATAGCAAGGTCTGGCTCAAAGGTAAGTTGATACCTCAGCACAATAGCAAGGTCTGGCTCAAAGGTAGGTGGATACCTCAGCACAATAGCAAGGTCTGGCTCAAAGGTAGGTGGATACCTCAGCACAATAGCAAGGTCTGGCTCAAAGGTAGGTTGATACCTCAGCACAATAGCAAGGTCTGGCTCAAAGGTAGGTTGATACCTCAGCACAATAGCAAGGTCTGGCTCAAAGGTAGGTGGATACCTCAGCACAATAGCAAGGTCTGGCTCAAAGGTAGGTGGATACCTCAGCACAATAGCAAGGTCTGGCTCAAAGGTAGGTGGATACCTCAGCACAATAGCAAGGTCTGGCTCAAAGGTAGGTGGATACCTCAGCACAATAGCAAGGTCTGGCTCAAAGGTAGGTGGATACCTCAGCACAATAGCAAGGTCTGGCTCAAAGGTAAGTTGATACCACAGCACAATAGCAAGGTCTGGCTCAAAGGTAGGTGGATACCACAGCACAATAGCAAGGTCCGGCTCAAAGGTAGGTGGATACCTCAGCACAATAGCAAGGTCTGGCTCAAAGGTAGGTGGATACCACAGCACAATAGCAAGGTCTGGCTCAAAGGTAGGTAGACACCTCGGCACAATAGCAAGGCCTGGCTCAAAGGTAGGTTGATACCTCAGCACAATAGCAAGGTCTGGCTCAAAGGTAAGTTGATACCACAGCACAATAGCAAGGTCTGGCTCAAAGGTAGGTGGATACCTCAGCACAATAGCAAGGTCTGGCTCAAAGGTAGGTGGATACCTCAGCATGATAGCAAGGTCTGGCTCAAAGGTAGGTGGATACCTCAGCACAATAGCAAGGTCTGGCTCAAAGGTAGGTAGACACCTCGGCACAATAGCAAGGTCTGGCTCAAAGGTAGGTGGATACCTCAGCACAATAGCAAGGTCCGGGCTAAAGGTAGGTAGACACCTCGGCACAATAGCAAGGTCTGGCTCAAAGGTAAGTTGATACCACAGCACAATAGCAAGGTCTGGCTCAAAGGTAGGTGGATACCTCAGCATGATAGTTAGTTCTAGTTGATACTTAACTTTGTGTAACAATAAAAACAGGTACATGTACATGTTTTGGTTGTATGGGGTTGGTTCAATTTTTCTGGAGATAGTGTACTGCTTTCTTACTTTAAACTGTGTATCTTTTGAAGTAGATATACAGTGTATTGGTAATTTAAGTGAAACTTAAAATGCCTGCAGTTTATATTCAGTTTTGAACAGTTTACTTATATTGTGAAAAAAACAGTTGATTGTCATTATATGATAAACTTGATGCAATATTTACCACAGTTAACTCAATTTATTTCATATTTATGTATAATTACAAAAATAAATAGGAAAAAGACATTCTTTCATGATTTAGGCCCCGAAACATTTATGACAATTTTCTGTTTTCTCATTCATCACTGGTTTTCAATCAAATGATAACACTTACCTGATGCTCTAAACCTGTTGATCAATTATTTTTTCACAAATAATGTTTCCAGGCATTTTTGGAGTCGGTCAGTGAGAGCAATTCTGATGTCAACAATAACATCATCGGTCAGTTTGGCGTGGGCTTCTATTCCTCCTTCATGGTGGCTGACAAGGTCGAGGTGTACTCAAAGTCAAACCAACCTGATGCTGTTGGATACAAATGGACATCTGATGGGTAAGGAACTCCTGTATGCTGTTGTATAACTGTAAACTTCAGGTAGTCTTAGTTTTGAACTGTATTGAAATTTAACTATTGTTGATCTCTTGTGTTAAATTTTAGTATTGAAATTCAACCAGTGCTAAACTTAAGGATAAAGATTTAACCAGTGTTAATCTTCAGTTATTAGAAACCTTTAACAAATGTTAGACTTCAGCGCCAAGTGTTAACCCTTACTTAGTGTTTAACTTCTTCATTCAAATTTAACTAAATTTAATTGAAGTTTTTAAATTCATACTAGTGATATACTTAAGCATGAAGATTAAAACTGAAATATTACAATATAATTTGTTTGGTAAGTGATCTGTGCTTGTTTAGGACAGGGAATGTTTGAAGGTTGTTTCTAATGGGAGTGACTGTATTTGTTTTGGTTGGTGATGTTTGAGGGACATTATGATACATATGACTTGTATTTGTTAAGGACGGGGATGTTTGAGATTGCGGAGGCTGATGGTGTACAGAGGGGTACTAAGATAGTGCTACACCTTAAGGGAGACTGTTACAACTACTCTAACGAGGAAGTCATCAAAGGTGAGTGGTTAAGGAAAAGGAAAATGTTATCCTTAAATGACATATCGGATATTGTATTTTAAAAAAATGTGTGGATAGCAAAATGAGGATAATATGTGTTCTGGATGAAAAAAAGAAACACAGATAATAGATTTCTTACTTTTGTAGTCTTGATTATGAATTGTTCAAAATTCTAGTGTATTTACACAACTTATATATATGTTGTACTTATTTTGAACTTTACAGAGGTGGTAAAGAGGTACAGTAACTTTGTGGGCGTTCCTATTTTCCTGAATGGAAAGCGAGCTAATGTTGTTCAGGTAACACTACCCCTTGTGATATCCTTATTACATACATTGTTCTCGGTCCATCTATATGGTACATGTATATAACATCAGGTATATCGTAGTAAAGGTTACTTTCAAAGATTCGTTTTTGTTGATTTTACGGGTACCTTAAACACAAATTGATATGTCCATGAAATAATTCACAGATAAAAATTGACATGGATTATAGTACTAGTGGATTTTACAAGCCTGATTTATCTTTCAAGTCAAGAACCCCCCCCCCAAAAATGTACATTTTCTGTAAAACCACAAAATTTTAGTTCCTCAAAATATATGATTTTACGGTATGTGAAACTGGATGCAGTTAAATTTGAAAGTTTCATTTTTTTTCTTCTTACTGAACACAAAACTTTGCAGATAATTAGGACCTGATGTTAATTATTCAAAGTTTTGTGTTCAGTAAAAAAATTAATTACATTTTGTATTTGTATTGCATTTGTTTATAAGTGTTCATGTCATGACCATATTTGGTAATATTTGCTTACATACATTGTTTCTATTGTTATATATAATTGTTTAGGCTCTGTGGCTGGCTGACCAGAAAGACATTACATCAGAAATGCATGAGGAATTTTACAGATATATCGGTAATGTGTATGATAAGCCTCGATATCACCTCCACTACAAGACTGATGCGCCCCTCAACATCCGAGCTCTTTTCTATGTTCCCGAGTACAAACCAAGTGAGTAGAGGTCATTGCTCAATAGAACCAGAAACTCGGCACCTGGCAAATTTTCTGTCACCATTGAAATTAAAAAAACATGCTTGTACTATATCAGGAATATGAATCCTCTCCACTGTTACACTTTGTGATGGCTTCTGATACTCACGACAGTGATATAAAAGTTCAAGTACTAATTCACAAAGAATTTCAAAGGTTATGAAATTTAATTTTTGTGACAAATAAAAAAAAAATTTAATAATCTTCTTAAGATGTATGATTTCCCAGCAAATGTCATTGAAATAATACTTTGATCTTTCTTTCAGCTTTATTTGATATGAGTCGAGAGACAGATGTATGTGTGACTCTATACAGCAGAAAAGTTATGATAATGCCCCGAGCTTCTCACATTCTGCCACGCTGGCTACGATTTCTCAAAGGTAGGATTCACACCTTCATAAGATTGAAACCTTGCAGACAACAATATGTTTTTACTGTCAAGATATTTCAACACAACAGGGTCAGATGTAAATTCTAATGTGATGTATGGATCAAGTTTAAAACAGATGGTTGATGTTGGCAAATAGCTATCATGAAGGATATTTGGTTAATCTGTGTTTTATTTTATTTGTGAAACGACAAATTAATTTCTAAATGTGGATGATATAGTTTTTCTAATATTAGAAATATTTCCAACTTCATGTTTTTATTAAATATTTCAAATTATTTTAAGAATAAATGAAAAATATCTTTGAATATTTTTCAAAATTTCCTTTTAATGTCCATTGATATTAAGTTTGCTGGAATTGTACTTATTTTGGTTGCCGTATGTTACAGGTGTTGTGGATAGTGAGGACATACCTCTCAATCTTAGTCGTGAATTACTTCAGGACAGTTCACTCATCAGGTACGAGAGTTCACAAATATCTAAATGATACTGCCTCTGTATCCTCTCCTCATTAATCATGTGTAAGTGTTGTTAATGTTACCTAGATTCTAAGGACTTTCATGCTCTTTTTGTTCTACAGGAAGTTACGCCAAGTCCTTACCACTCGCATTCTCAAATTTTTCCAAGATTGTGCGAAGAAGGACCAACCAACCTACTCTGCATTCTACGATGATTATGGCCTGTTTTTTAGAGAAGGGATTGTCACTGAACATGACCAGGAGATGAGGGTAAGTGGTGGTAGTAATCTTAGCAGGACGCTACAAATGGTTATCTCCTCTTTGATATTATCTTCTTTCCTGAGCCTGTAAATCAAATTTATCATAAAGATATACATGGATATCCAAGGAATTAGATTACAATTCTAAAGCACACCTGTCATCATAAGTGTTTATGTCATTTTATTTTTGAATTGTCTTGTTATTGCTTTTGGCCCTGACAATAAGTTTGCCTGTAGATACAGATTCACAGATAAACATTCTAGTCTCACAGATAGTATTAGACATTCTAGTTCACTCACAGTAGGCATTCTAGTTCACAGATAGGTATTCTAGTCTCACAGATAGGTATTCTAATCTCACAGATAGACATTCTAGTCTCACAGATAGGCATTCTAGTCTCACAGATAGACATTCTAGTTCACAGATAGACATTCTAGTCTCACAGATAGACATTCTAGTCTCACAGATAGACATTCTAGTCTCACAGATAGACATTCTAGTTCACAGATAGACATTCTAGTCTCACAGATAGACATTCTAGTCTCACAGATAGACATTCTAGTCTCACAGATAGACATTCTAGTCTCACAGATAGACATTCTAGTTCACAGATAGACATTCTAGTCTCACAGATAGACATTCTAGTCTCACAGATAGACATTCTAGTCTCACAGATAGACATTCTAGTTCACAGATAGACATTCTAGTTCACAGATAGACATTCTAGTCTCACAGATAGACATTCTAGTCTCACAGATAGACATTCTAGTTCACAGATAGACATTCTAGTCTCATAGATAGACATTCTAGTCTCACAGACAGACATTCTAGTCTCAAAGATAGACATTCTAGTCTCCCAAATATCTCTTACTTTTATAAGAGAACGTATATATATCATACTTGTCCATTTAACAAGACATTATTGTCAGTGTGAATAATAATATATATGTTAGTATTATTTCTTGGATTTTATCTTTAAAGTTCTTTGAACAGTGTCCTGATAATTGCCTCATTTTGAACTGAGGTCTTATAGTTATTTAAATTGCACAATACAAATATGTATAAATGTAAATTACATTATGTTGATAGGAAGAGATTGCCAAGTTGTTGAGATTTGAGTCATCAAAGTCAGCTAAAGGAGAACGTATCAGCATGAATGAGTATGCATCCCGTATGAAGGCAGGATCTCGGGAGATCTACTTCTTGTCTGCCCCAAAGTAAGTCGTCAGCATTCCTCATTTAAGGGAAAAGAATTACAGTGAATAATTTGAAATCCATGTGTTTGTTGCTAAGCTATTTGATTTGGTTAGTATAACAGAATACAAGAATATTTGTACTTGTCTGGGATATTGTTTGAAGTGTATGTTGTGATTAGAGAGTACAAGTCTAGCATATGTTAGGTTTTTGGTTTAATTCCTGTCCTGATTTACAACAGTCGAGAGCTGGCAGAGCAGTCACCATACCTTGAGGCTCTCGAGAAGAGGGATGTGGAAGTGCTGTTTCTGTATGAGCCGTACGACGAGCTTGTACTAATGAACCTTGGACAGTATGACAAAAAGTTCTTCAAGTCCATAGAGAATGAGATGACAAACGACAAGGCTGACACTGACACTGTTGATGAGACTGGTGGGTATTATAATGATTAGTACAAAAGGGGAGATAACTGTGTTATATCACATGATAGATGGATTTTACAGCTCATTAAACTAGTGAGGTCCATGAATCTCCTAATATAATCTCTGATTTTTATTTTTTGACATACAAAGATTAGAACCCAAATTCTATACCCAAAAATAGAATGTTTCACTATTTTTCTCCCACCTTTTACAGCAGTATTTGGTGAACACAATGTGGATCAAACAACTTCTGAAAATAACTTGATTTCTCTGTGACATACAAGATTAGACCAAATTGTTTACAATATGTATTCTTCAAAAATAATAAGTAATGCATTATCTTCATCACAAGCTTCTGTTATGATTTATTATGCTCGTTGGAAGGAATAAGACATCCAAATAGCAAAGGTCAATTAGTGCAACCATGGGATACATGTATCCCGCACAGGTAGAGGTGGGAGAAAAACAAAAAAAAAGGAAAGTAACCACATAGTAAAACAAAGGATTATTTCTGCTTTTCAGACGAAAAAAGTTTGCGCCAGGGAGAGGTTGATGATTTAAAGACTTGGTTACAAGGAGTCCTTGGCAACAAGGTCACAAAGGTCAAGGTAAAGATCGTACAGTAAATTATTTTTTTTGTAAATTTGTTTTAGGAAGCAGGTACACAGTATTGGTGTTATCTGTGGATCTTTCTATGTGTTTGTTTAATGCCATAATATTTCCTGTAGGATCTTCAAGCTCTGTGTGTATGTACAATTTAGGTGGTATGTTTTCAGCCAAACCAAACCAGGTGAACGATACAGACCCTATGTGTCTCTTGTATTGAATATGTAAGGAAAATTATTAATGAATTAATGACCCATTTTATTTATACTTCCATTCTACACTTCACAGGTAACAAAGAAACTGGTGTCCCATCCATGTGTAATAACAGTTCCGGAGATGGGATCTGTTCGTCATTTCCTCCGCACCACATTGGCAGACAAGAGTGAGGAGGAACGCTATCGTGTACTACATGCTACGCTGGAGATCAACCCTAGGTAATTCAATTGTTACAAACTTTTCCTGTCATTGCAACAAGTTTATTTTCACTCTTTGGTATCAGAGAAGCAAAATCTGTCGATAGGCATAGTTTTATACTTGACAATACTGGCCATTTACACTTAAACAATAACAAAGTGTTTGACCTGTTTTTGTATTTGGATGATATTTGGTTTATAGGTCATAAATGAAATATAGTGTCTGAACAAGGCTCATGAATATTCATATATTGTATTCATCTTGCTGCTACAGATGTCTTTTCTTAATGGTAGGGAATTATTTCTCTGGTAAGGTTACACTTCTCATCTACAGTGTTTTTCTAAATCTTGCATAATATGGCATTTCTAACTAATATGATCTAAAATCAGTGTAATTCAATAATTCATCTCATGTATTGTCATGTAGTTCAAATAAATAAGATCATTCGTTTTACAATAATCTCATGTTACATTATTTACAGAAAATTTTCAGACTTCATATGTTAATTGAAAATTAATAATTTATGTTTGAAAACATATGTTAATTGAAAATTAATAATTTATGTTTGAAAAATGAAAAATCAGGAATAGATGTTTGTCTGGAGCCTGGTATTGTAGTGTTTATATTCATGATCTTGTTTCTACAGTCACCCACTCATCAAGAAGATACATGACCTTCAAAAGACCAATACAGACTTAGGAAGACTTGTAGCAGAACAGGTATCTATTATGTTTGCAAATTCTTTTTTTACAAGTAGCACTTGCTGTATTCATGTCTGTTTGTCTACAGATAATTAAGCATGCTTTTAACTCACTTCAATGAGGTTTGTAATAAAATTGTCTGAGTTGTTTATATTTGTACTGTAATTATCCTACAGTAAGACGAGAGGCCAACACTTAAACATTTACTCAAAGTAGGGGGTGAGCTTATCGCAGAACAATGAAATAACTTAAACAGTTTTACTGAATCTGAGTGGGCTTATTACAATATATGACCTTATAATTGGATGAATACAAGATATTGTAAATATCTAAGACTTCTGTTGGAGAGTGTGGTTCTGCCTGCTGAAATTGATTTCTAAAGTGAAAACATCAGATGAGATATACAACTGTATTATATATCTGATCACATGAATACATTAGCATAAGTAATTAATTACATTAGTGTATATGAATATTACTTCAGGAGCAAAAGTGAAGTAAATTAACATTGGAATCGATTTATGAAAATGTGTGTCTAATATCCTGTTTTTTTCAAAATCTTTATGCATGTTGTAACTCATATTTGATTTGTTTTTTATTTGGGTAAGTCTTGATATCATTGGTCAATGCAACAAAGATTGCTGTATAATGCAAAAGTTTTTATAGTAGTTACCTCCCCTTAATTGTGTCTGAGTTAGCCAAATTTCTTCAAGCAAAACGCTATCAGCTGACAGGACACATCAATACACATTAGATTTACTTCTAATCTACTGTGGATTCATTTTATTTCGTGGGGGTCCAATTTTCGTTGTTTTCGTGGATGAGCAAATCCACGAATTTAAAAACACAACGAAATATGAACTACTTACTAAAGTAATTTTGAAATTTGACCAAGTAATCTTTGCCGACACCGGAAACGTCCACCGGTAATGACAGAAGCCCCGTAATTAGTCGGGAGTCCTCGACATGGATACGCTAAATTGGTGTCAACGATATATAATTATATATTATTAAACATAACAAAGGGTAAGTACCCATTGTGATGCTAAGTATGATGGGATCGCAGTCGTTAGCGACACTGTGGACACTAGGCTTGATCGGACCATCCTGTCGATTGAAGATTGGATCCGTATTTCTATCCGACTACAGGTTCACAATAATTATTAATAATGCAGATCTTGTTTACACACCTGTTTACACACATGGTCCAATCGTTACGCGTGGTGTTTTCATATGACTGCGGTACACCGACTGATCAGCACACAATGTTTATCCACTGAAAACAATTGTTTCTGATAATTACCGATTGATTACACGCCAGGATATATACTGATTTGTGGTTTGATATTAATGCGAGACTGTTGTAAACAGCGTTATAAAAACACAGGACGCCATCTTGAAAAAAAACGTTCTTTTATTCTTGTCATTAGTGTTAATTCCTGTGAACATAGCCTTAATACAAACAGAAATAATTTCGACTGGAAGCAAAAAGAGAAAATTCTAACGTTTTTATTTTTTTCCCACAGAATCAAAAATCCACGAATTCTGATTTATTAGCCAGTAATTATCACATGGTGTGCCGTTCAAGTCGTCCTTATTCCACAGTCCGTCTATTGAGCATTGTCCATGCATAAACAATTCTTGTTATCGCTTCTTCCTGAGAAATACCAGAAGAACATTTTTCAAACATCATATGAAGGTTTTCCTCTGTCCCTAGTTGTGCCCATTTTAAATTGAAACTGATCAATGAAACTCAGTTCCTGTAGGAGTTGATAGTTTGAATACAAAGTACAGGTCCCTACTAGTGTTGAAAGTACAGTGTTACAATGTACTGGTCCCTACTAGTGTTGATAGTACAGTGTTACAATGAACAAGTCCCTACTAGAGTTGATAGTACAGTGTTACAATGTACAGGTCCCTACTAGTTTTGATAGTACAGTGTTACAATGTACAGGTCCCTACTAGTGTTGATAGTACAGTGTTACAATGTACAGGTCCCTACTAGTTTTGATATCACAATGTACAATGTACAGGTCCCTACTAGTGTTGTTGGTACAGTGTGCAATGTACAGGTCCTTACTAGTGTTGATATCACAGTGTTACAATGTACAGGTCCCTACTGGTGTTGATAGTACAGTGTACAATGTACAGGTCCCTACTAGTGTTGATAGTACAGTGTTACAATGTACAGGTCCCTACTAGTGTTGTTTTTACAGTGTACAATGTACATGTCCCTACTAGTGTTGATAGTACAGTGTTACAATGTACAGGTCCCTACTAGTGTTGATAGTACAGTGTACAATGTACAGGTCCCTACTAGTGTTGATAGTACAGTGTGCAATGTACAGGTCCCTACTAGTGTTGATAGTACAGTGTTATAATGTACAGGTCCCTACTAGTGTTGATAGTACAATGTAACAATGTACAGGTCCCTACTAGTGTTGTTAGTACAGTGTTAAAATGTACAGGTCCCTACTAGTGTTGATAGTACAGTGTTACAATGTACAGGTCCCTACTAGCGTTAATAGTGCAGTGTACAATGTACAGGTCTCTACTAGTGTTGTTAGTATTTCCTCCTGGTGTAGATAATATGGTGTGCAATGTTAAGTTCCCTCCTGGTTTTGATAGTTCTGTATACAATGTACAGGTCTCTCCTGCTGATTTTAGTACAGTGTACAATGTACACAGGTCTCTAATAATGCTGATGGTGCTGTGCACATATAACATTTAGGTCTTCCTTTTGTTTTTTATAGTTATTAAGTTACTTGACCAAAGATGTCATTCTTTCCTATTGGGATTGTTTTTAGTCTGTGGTCATGTGACTTGTGTTGTGCTGAAAATTTTTTCTTGTGAACATGATAACTTGAGTTAACATGAACAGAATTTGAAGAGACTTGGTCTGCAGTGTTATATCAATAAGATCTGGCATGGTAATTAGACCAGTGTAATTCTTATTTTCAGAGTTATGGCCCTTTGTGGTTTTATTTCCTTGTCAGTACAATAACTTTAGTAAATATGAACAGATTTCGAGGAAACCTGTTAAGCAGCCATACTTGTGTATCAATAAGAACTGAGATGAGTTTAACAATGGGATGGATTTGATAATTTATTACAAAGTTAGGCCCAGTGCATCTCTAGTACCTTGAACCTAGTGAACACAATTACCTGAAGAAATGTATATGAACAGATTTGAATGAAACTTGTATGCAATATAAAATCAATGAGACCTCAGATGGGCTAGACAGTAGGACAATATTAATTCTGCAGTAACTTACAGAGTTATCTGCCTTTGTTTTTTTTTTAAACATTGGACCTTGTTAACACTATGTTTTAAGTAAATATGAATCAGTTTTGATGAAACTTGGTATGCAGCCTTATATCAATTGGGTATGAGATGAGCTAGCCAACAGTACTATATTGATCAAAATTTACATAGTTATGGCCCTTTGTAGATTTATAACCTTGTGAATAAGATTAATGGAGTCAATTTGAACAGATTTTAATGAAACTTGATGCCATTTTCATGATGTGTCATATTAATTTATGTCATTTAGACTAGATAGGCATCAGAAAGTTTTTAGTTGTATGTTGTAGCTGTGCTTTACAAATTTATCTTCATTGTCCAATCAAATGTGGTGTTACATCATGAATGGATAAGAAAATAAGTATTGATAACTTTCTCTTGCCTTAACATTAAGTCTTTAGAGTCTTCTTACCCTGTGCCTTGTTCTAGTAAATCCCCAGGCATTGAGTTAGCATCTAGAATTTTACACTCTTACCTAAGATTCAGGCAAATTGAAATGTCTCTGTCAATCAGTTTGCCTTCCATAAAAAATCTTCAAAATCTTAAAATGGATATTACTGGCATCAGAGGAGTGTTATATTGGAGAAAGTATTTGTATTACTTTCGTTGAGCACAAATCTGACTTAAATGTGATTAGTATTGAAGTTGAACTATGATAGTTTCAGGCACATTGCTCTAAAACAGGTTTAGATATAGTCAGTAGACAGTAGTAAAGCCACTATCACTAGCTTGTCTCTGGAACTGCGTTAATGTTTCAAAGCAGCCATGTGTGTAACAGTGGGAGGCATGGTGAACTGGGGCCTCCCACGCCAGATCAATACAGATGGATTTTGTGATTACTGCAGTGTAAAATACAGCTCATTTCTACACACTATTGTCAGTATAAAACCCTGTTCAAATATACCATATCCTGTCAATGTAAAACATATAGGACAGTGTAGAGAATACTAAGTTTTATCAACGCTGTCAATTTAGAACACTTGTGAGCTCTACTGTCTTTGTCAGTGTAGAACACTGCTCAATTCTACTGTCTTTGTCAGTGTAGAACACCGCTCAATTCTACTGTCTTTGTCAGTGTAGATCAGTGTAGAACACTGCTGTTCTGTCATCTCTGTCAATATTGAACACTGCTCAATTCTACTGTCTTTGACAGTGTAGAATCCTGCTCAGTCTATCATCACTGTCAATGTAGAACACTGTTTAGTTCTACTGTCCCTGTCGATGTAGAATAATGTTTAGTTCTTCTGTCCCTGTCGGTGTAGAACAATGTTTAAATTCTACTGTCCCTGTCAATGTAAAACAATGTTTAAATTCTACTGTCCCTGTCAATGTAGAACAATGTTTAGTTCTACTGTCCCTGTCAGTGTAGAACAATGTTTAGTTCTACTGTCCCTGTCAATGTAAAACAATGTTTAGTTCTACTGTCCCTGTCAATGTAAAACAATGTTTAGTTCTACTGTCCCTGTCAATGTAAAACAATGTTTAGTTCTACTGTCCATGTCAATGTAGAGCAATCTTTAGTTCTGTCCCTGTCAGTGTAGAACAATGTTTAAATTCTACTGTCCCTGTCAGTGTAGAACAATGTTTAAATTCTACTGTCCCTGTCAATGTAAAACAATGTTTAGTTCTACTGTCCATGTCAATGTAGAGCAATCTTTAGTTCTACTGTCCCTGTCAATGTGGAACAATGTTTTAAGTTCTACTGTCCCTGTCA